GGACGTGGGAGGTGTACACCCCCTAGCCCTGGCCAGAGGGGGTACAGCGGGTGCTACTTTTCATGATAAAGCAAACAATTATTAGAGGGAAAATGAGATACAGTAATTTGAGTAATAACATGATGATAAGCGAACTGTGAACAACAATTACAATTCAAATACAGTAGTCAAGCAAGACTTTGCAGTAGTGAAGCAAGTTGATTGGCGGGCGTCACACATGACCGACACAACTTAGCACCAGAGCTGGCAGAGCACCCCTCCTCCCAGATCATACTGGATCCATCCCTGATTGAATATGGCATGAATACTCATGCTAGAAATATCCAATCACAGTTACAACCATAAAGGCAGTTGTAGGACACAAATGTTTAATGACATGTGTATCAGGTCTTCATTTTTCTTTGCCCGCCAGCTGTGAGAAAAATGAAGGTCTGGGCACAGGTTATATTCCCTTGTAAACAGAGATGAAATTTGCTCAGTAAAGCAAGCTGTCAAGTTTGATATTGGGGCTGGTTTGCCTCCAGACAAGCAAACCTCTGTAAAGACTGTAAAATGCCAAACTACCCCCCCCCCCGCTGGTAACAACAGTATTTAATAAATAGACACAAACTTTAATTATTTTGTTAATACATACAAATCTACATTTAATTTAACTGTGGAGCCCATTTTCCACTTTATACACTTCTTGAACTGAACAATGTACTACAATGTAAAATATAGATAAATTTCTCTTACTCAACTGTTTAGAGCCCTCAGTTCGAGTTTCACATAGTGGGCATCTCACAGTATAAATATACTTCAATTCATATTCAATTCTTGTACTCAGTTGAAAGATTAGATTCATTCCAAGCCTTGGTATTAATTAATTCGACTGTAAATTATTTGTTCTCCGTCAATTTCGAGGGATATTTCTTCGCAAAACCATTTATTTGTCTCATTTGCATATAGTGTTTGCATATCCTTGCCGCCATGACTTGAATCAGCTTGAATCGAATGCCTCGTTACGTCACAGTAGATTTTGATTTTGCAATTTGCATCAGTGGACCGATGCGAGCGCCCGCAATCTGCATGCGATGCATCGCTCAGCGGACAAATCTACCGTGACGTAGGGCTCTAAAACAATAGATTTGATGATGTCACAGCAGATTTCACGCGGAAAAGGACTCGGGACCGATGCATTCACTGATGCAAAATGGCTGAAAATCGATGCAAACAAAATCTACCGTGACGTAGGTGATGCATTGGCTTTCTACTGTGACGTCCAATGATGCGGTAAAAAATAACATATTTTGTCGCGAAATTAGTAACGCTTAAGTGTCGCAAAATAAGAAGTAAATAACAGAAAATAAACGTTTGGGATCGCACGTTGCATATTGACTTATTTTAACAATTTCGACTGTTATTGAGACTATTTAAATTGGATTTCATTCTAAATAGTGTATTCCTGACATGGAGTCAATTTTAAGCAAAGATTTGCGGTTTGATAGCTGGAGAGATTCAAATTAAATATATTCCATTACTGAGTGCTTGCCTATTGACGACACCATAATATGTCTATATATTATTTCAAGCAACATGATTTCTCAATTTTGACCGATGCATTCGCATCGTTGGCATCGGTCTGGATCCGCCTCTGGCTCATATAATTGCTATGACACACAAATAAGAGCATAATTACGCCGTACATGATTAAAAGTAATAAAAAATTTTATCCTAATTTATAGTTGATGCGCGACTTCCACCTAATCTTATTTGTTTTGGTCTTGATTATGATCGACGTTACCTTCATCACAATTTGGGTTCTCTGTGATCCTTTAGAAATGGAGGAGATTGTTTTTGATGAGCTGGTAAGTTTAACGTACCTGTGCTTCCGAATTCTGCCCTATTTTGTTCAGTTTATTTAAAAATAACAAGTAAATCGCCTATATGATTTTCCAAAGAATATGGTTAACATCTTTTATGCTTTAGATTTCTAGGCAGAATTAAGGGCAAATTTCGTTCTTAACCAATCAGCGCATTTGTTTACATTTTGTTCACAACCAATCAGTAGGCGTAAAACGCCTTCATCACATGGAATTTGTAAATATGCATATGAGGTCACCTGAAAGCTTTGCTGCAAGAGTTTTTTTCTATAAAATTTGGAAATGTTGTTTATCAGAGATTTCCCTTCAAATTCCTCGTGAGGATTTTATTATTTATTGCGAAGATATGGGTTATCAAACTTTGCCTTCCGCAAGGCTAAACACTACCCATAAAATGCGCACTCTCCGAAACGGATCAGCGCGTTTAGTTTTATTTCTTTCAAGATATTTTTATCTTTATATATTTGCATTAGTTTATTAATACCCTCTATAACAAGTAAACAAGATACTTCTGGGCCGGGATAAAAATGTTTTTGGTATTAGTAGGCTAAAGAAGCTCACCTAATATTTGGACTACAGGCCATAAAATCAATTCGAAGTATCTATTTGATTGATTGGCCCAAACCTTTTATTGGGTTTAGGATTTGGTCGACCTCGTTATAATGTCTCAACACAATCATGTGTTCCAGCCTGTAGACATGAATGTTTTTGCATGTGTTAATGACAACATATTCATCAGGAGACATGTTGTCATTGTCCCAACCAGTCAACATGAACGTGACTTCAGCATACGTTTGGCATTCCTAGATCATACAAACAGGTCCCCAACAGATCCTGAAACTATAATTGGAATATTTTAGTCCATAATCTTGTGCATTACGAGAACACCGGTGCACAAATTGATATTTTACATATATCATGATGTAAGCCCTTTATTAAGCCCCCAGTAACCTAACAAATAAATAAGCTCTTCGTTCCAAAAATAAGCTCTCCCTATTCAGCACTGTCAATATGGGCTATGCCAGTCCAGCAAACATGGCTGAAATCAGTTCGTGCAGTCTGCTTCAGGTGAATGTAATTTCAAAAATATGTAAAGAAGCATTTCACCACGGACAGGTATATATTAATTAATCCCAGACAAATGGGCAAGGCCAGATTTCCGGGCGGGATATCATGCACTGCTATACATGGTTGATTCTACAACATTATGGCCTGAAATGTTCCGAGTGTAGTTTCAGGATCTGTTAAAGGCCGCCTGTTTAAATTATCTGGGCTGGAAAGCATGGAACCCTGGAGGCACGTTCATGTTACCTGATTGAGATATGGTAAATTTATTACCTTGCATAGCTGTGTCGACTCTGATAGGGGATTCCTCGCGCTTGGCCCGGATAGTAGCAGGATAGTATATAAATTGTGTCATCTCCCACCTAGCTAGGTCATACGAACAGTTCCTAATTCTGACTAGTGAGCCGGATGAGATAAGAAACGATGAAGTTCCCATGTCCATAAATATTTATATCTGAACAGGAATATTGAACAAAATAATTCTAGATCTGTCCAAAAGCCATTCGTCTTCCTCAAGTTAGGACTTCGAGATCAATGAATATGTTGTCATTCAACGACTGAAAAAAATGAAAGCTTAACTTAATATTATTATTATTATTATTATTATTATTATTATTATTATTATTATTATTACAATATTGCCTGCTCCCAAAAGGGCTTTTCAGCAGGTGATTACAAATAATTTATATGCTACAAACAATATATATACACCCACAAATATAAATACATACATACATATATACATACATACAAACACACATTAAAATTTTATAATTATTAATAATGTCACTTTAAAAATGTTAACTACTTCCTAATAAAATCCATACAGTAAAAACGTTTATATGCTAATTTAAACAAGCCCAAATTATCTAAAACTATTAAGGCAAGTGTTGTTGTCTGACAAACGAAAACATTCATGTCTACAGGCTGCAACACCATGCTGACACGTTATCACGAGTTCGACTAACTAGACAAAAAAACGAGCCAAAAATTTGTTATTGAGCTAATCAGTCAAATAAATACTTGGCGTATAGATTTAAAGGTGCATGCTCCAAATAGTTGGTGAGTTTCTTTAGCCCATTTCTAGCAACAAAATTCTCTGTATTTGTATGGGCCATATTGATCGCCACGCTGGTTCAGCAAGAAATGGTCATGTCAACTTGTCCCGTCCCGAATGTGTCCTGTTTACCTAATTGCTATGTACAGTATATTAATAGGTAAATGTGAAAAAGTGATGTTAAATGTATCCTTTAATTAAGGAATAAAACCTCTCAAAACTCAATTTGAAAGACTTTTAAATGCGCTAATCCGTTCGGAGCCTACAAATCCGAAAGGCAGTATATTTAATCTTGCGCTTGCCAAAGTTTGAAGACCCATGTCTTCGCAATAACGCGCTAAATATAAAAATCCGTAGACGAGGCATTTTAAGAGAAATTTCTGAAGAATAACATATCCAAATTTCTCGCAAAAAAATCTTCTCGCAACAAAGCTTTCAAGTGACCCCACATGTATGTTTGCAAATTTTATGTGATGAAGGCGTTTTATAACAATACGCTGATTCGTCGAGAGATGCAGACGAAATTTTACAATGTATCGAGAGAAAATGCACTAGTTATTTTTGAGATCCTTACACGGATTGTTATTAGTGCGAATCAAGAAGTTATTCTACATGATCAATTTCCAAATTTCGTTTAAATAAAGGCATGTTTGAATTAGGTGTTGTTCACCCAAAGGACCATTGAAATAAATGAATAAAAAAAACGCCGCGATGATTTTTAAAGAACTTCGCTAACTTATTTTATTATTTTTATTTCATGTTTAAATTGATGTGGTACGTACGTGAAGATTATAGTTGTGACATCGAAATATGGATGGGCAAACCGGGAAACATTTGAGGAAACATCGAGAATCACGAATGTTTCCACAACAATGCTTCCTAGCTTGCCCAGGGCTTAACTATAACTGGTATGCAGTACCAAAACTAAAGCGTTCTTAATTTGAAAAAACAGTTGGTGCATTGTCATGTCATGGAATATTCGGATATCAAATCACATTAACATATGTAATGAAAAAATGAGTAAAACACAAATTAACATTGGACACGATTTACTAAATACAATCAGTGGGCATTTTTTTACCCAACAGAAAGAATATTCGAGGGACCTGATCACCATTCCAGTATTAAAGATCTGTGATTGCACTCACAGAACAAGGCTTCTTGGTGCTCTATACGGATACAAAGGATTTATTTTGCTATTTGGCGTGGTGCTTGCGTGGGAAACACGAAATGTGAAAATCCCTGCATTAAATGACTCGAAGTACATCGGAATATCAGTCTATAATGTCGTCATATTGTCTGCCATTGGTGCAACAGTGTCTACGGTTTTGAACAAGACGGTACATTATGAATTACTTCACGCTTTGGTATCCATTATCGTGCTGCTGTCAACAACTGTTACCCTGACCATGATGTTTGCGCCGAAGGTAAGATGTTACGTTCCCTCTGATTGATGATGACGGATTAAATTTTGTAGCCTATATTTCGAGAATTTATGCACATTTATTGCAGAGTAGAGAACACAAGGTTGAAGTATAAGCTAACCTATTAAACAAGAAATGGAGAAGAAATATGGGAAGAAAGGAATTTAATTTGCTGCAAGCGCGAAAATGTGAAGTAAAATAATATTAACACCGAGAAATTTGAAAAAAAATAAAAAAGGATCAAGTACAACATGGAGGTTTTTTGGAGGAAGAAAGAAAAACAGAAATAGGGAACAGAAGACAGAAATGAAATATTTCAAAGAAAAGAGGAACAAATTTCTATGAAAGAAATTTCCAACCTTTCCCTACACCGAACAGTAACCCAAACGCTGTACATCTATACTTCTATACAATATATTTCGGCCGCCGCGTACATACCTATTTAGACTAAGTGTCGAAAAGAAGGAACGGTAAAGAATACTGGCCGATATATAATTGCAACTGGAAAAAAATGTAGAAAATCCTAGTAAAACGAAATTCAAAGAAAGAAAGAAGAAATAATTAATTTATTTTTTCTGTAGGTGTATTTGTATTATACAATACCGCCTGAACCTGAACGACGAGTTCGTGACATGAATTCTTTACAAATGCACGTTGGATCGCGAAAAGAAACAGAGGTTTCTGATGTTAGCTCAGGTGATGCTGATGTCAAAGACAAATGGACACAAACTGAAGATTGTTATCACGGTAAATGCTTAATGTTTACAACGTTTCAGTTTAAACTTGAAAAAAAATAGTTGAGGATCGGCGAATTGTTTCATGTCAACAAAATAGGGTTTTGGTCATCCAAATCAGTTCCTTTTTTATGACGTATTGTCATTCCAATATCATGAAATGTGTCCGGTTCTTATTATCTCTTTTGAACATGCCATTAAGGTCAGTTACTCTTACATATATACAGATGCACAGTTAAACATCTGACTCATAATGTCCAACAGCGGCACTACTTTATGTAGGCATTAACGTTGAAGTTAGATGTATAATGATATAAAATGGAGTCCAAGGGATCGTTAGAAGCGATAAGTGCCCGAATAGTTAGCATATATACCAAACTTTAAGGTTTGAACTACAATATTCTGTTTCGTAAAGAGAATTTTTCTTGCCTCCTCCATGGTCTTTTACCTGCTCTGCGCCATACAACTTAGAAACAACCAATAAAATTCGAAATCAAATCCACGATTAGGGTTAATAAGATTGTTGATGATCGCTTTAACAAAAAGATCCAAGTTGTTTGCTCAATATAATACGCATGATACAACAGTAGCTACATGCAGAACAACACTGTTCTAATAACCATCAGCAAGCTTGTTTCATAAACATTTGACCACTTGCGTAATAGACTAAATTTTGATCTAAACAAGTATAGACAAAAATTTCATCAGCGCTTGAAAGAGCATCACAAATTTAGTAATATTCCAAAGTTTCGTTGCGAAATGTTGTAAAATGCGGATAAAATAGCCTTGCGAAGTTTGCCGTTTTTCAGTCATTTTGCATTAGGCGGGGGAAATTGACAGCCCAATACCCTTTGAGGCTGTCAATTTCCCGTTCGTAATAGAAAATGACTGAAAAACGGCAAACTTCGCAAGGCTATATTATTCGCATTTTACAACATTTCCCAACGAAACTTTCGAATATTACTAATTTTGTGGTGCTCTTTCAAGCCGTGATGCAATTTTGGTCTAGACTTGTTGAGATCAAAATTTAGTGTGTTACGTAAGTAGTCAATTGTCGACAGCTGTTCCAACAACATGGTAACAACTATTGTTCATTCATAATCATTGTTGATAGGACAATATTATACACTTAATGTCTGCACCCGAGGGAAATAGTTAATTTTGTTTTCCCGAGAATCTCAATGTTTCCCGAGACGAAGTCGAGGGAAACATTGAGATTCGAAGGAAAACAAAACTAACTATTTCCCGAGGGAAAAGACGTTAAGTGTTTTGTTATATAGTGACGAAAGAAATATCAACATTGAACAACATTCATACAACAATATTTGTATTTCATGACAAAAACTCTATAGCGTAAACGAGTTTAAAATTTAAAAAACCTACTTAAATGGTTTCAGCAGCATATCCTGTTGCCTGTTATGTATTTTTCTTCTCTTTTACACTCTTTATTTTAACACAAAGCCACGAAAACAGTAGTTTAAATAGTATAAATTTGTGCCGCCATTTTGTCTATTTATGTACGTAGCCGGTCGGGGCGGGCAACAATTTTTCACTTATTGCCCGGGCGGGATACATTGCATATATCTAAAGCCACGTGACTACAAATCAGCCAATCACGTTTGGTGTTCACACTAGCTATATAATAATAATCAATAATGTCACTTCAACAACATACGTTGTCTTAACTGGATAAAAATATTGTTTCCATGTTGATAAGCGCAGAATGTTGGATGTGCGTGACCAATTTATTCGCGTTTAACTGTGCAAGTGCGTAACTACGTAAGGAATGCAACTGCTCATAATGTCATGTTCAAATGTCATAATATCAACTGCACGCATAATTATATTCCTGATAGGAATAATCTTTCATAACTAAATTGATACATACTCAAATTTATATCTCAATGTTAGTGATCTAGAATAACTAGGAAGAAAAAAGACAGATGCAATTGAGCCCTCTAGATAAGTGAGACCCCAAGACAAGCTTAGCTTTTGGGCAAACATCTGAATAAAATTTATATAAAAAAACAAGGTGCAATTACAGCAAATGTACAGTGTCTTCACCAGGGGTAATCGAAAGTTGCAATGTGGCTTCTTAAATACCCAAGAGATAACGTCATCTGTCAATGAGATGCATGATTTCCTCTGGCAAATAGGCACTGTCATCCCTATTCAAAGCATGTTACTCATATTTATATGCCACGCTTCTAGGCTTCGTCTTTGACTTCGTCTTTACTTTATATTTTCTCACGAAATCTTGTGTTTGGTGTCACATCCTTGTTTAATAGAGTTGCAAAAGCTTTGTGATCTTCTTTTAGCCGTGTACCAAACTGACGTTTGAACTGACCCAAATACTCTTTCTCGCAGTCACCATATGGTATAGAAAATACGTCATTAGTTTTCTGATTTGTTTTAACAGGTTCTTTCAAAAATATGGCCTAAAGTCAAATATGACAAATATTTGTTTGTATGTGTGGTTTTGCGACAAACATCAGTCTCTAACTTCCCTTCGACAGTTCTGTGAACATCCAAATCCAAAAAAGCTAAATGTCCATTCATCTCACGTTCTATCGTGAATTGAATGCATGGCTCAATAGAATTTAAATTTTGCAACAAAATATCGATTTAATTTCAAGAAACCGCAGAGATCACGTCATCTACAAAACGTTTCCAAACTGAAAGAGATACCGGAACTGATGCTAAATCTGTTGTTCGACATCTTCCATTACTAAATTAGCAATTACTGCCGATACTGGCGACCCCATGCAATAAAGTCCACGTTACACGGTGCAATTTTTCTTGCAACTTGCAATGCAATTCTACGCTTGAGAGATGTTAATTAGTGAAATCAGTGAAGAATTTTTTATATGTTCAGAAAATATCAGCGGAGTGTAATGAAGACTCGTATTTGGCAATTTTACATCTCTCAAGAGTAGAATTGCATTGCAAGTTGCAACAGAAATTGCACCGTGTAACATGGGCTTAAGAAGCCACATTGCAAATTTAGATCACCCCTGATGGAGACACTAGACTGGAGTGTCGAAACGTTGGGTCTTGATTGCAGTTCGACTGGGCTTTGTATTCATTTATATATAAACCAGAGTAGCGAGCGAAAACATGCAAAATTCTTATTCTTCAAGAATTTCATTAATGAGCAGGACATGCCTGGACTGAAAAGAGTATGAGACGAATTACGAAAAACTTTTATTTTTTAAATATCGTTTAGTTAGCAACATTATTGGTGATGCACATCCAGAGGTTAACGGTGAACTGTTTGGGGATAACTGCGGTGAACAGATCTTAGAAGGTGAATGTCAGAAACACAAAGATAATAAAGTTGGACCTATGGAAAATATTGCGTTTCAGGAACATAATGATTAACATTATTACTGGACAGTAACATATTACATTAATTTATTTCTTCTTTCTTGCTTAAACGAGAAACTAGTTGCCCTTATTGAGATAATCTTGTTTTGCATTCAATGGAGTATTCTCAATATATGAGCCCAACTTTCGGAAAAAGTATGTACAAGACATTTGGAGGAGTAGAGCGAATTTTCAAGCCGGTTTTGAGTTAAAGGAGCTCAATTAAAGTTGGCAAATTAGTAACTATTATATAGCATGAGCATACATTAGCACATTTTCTTCATTTTCTGTATTACCCATATAGCTTCCCATGAATCTCTTCACTTCCTATGTCAAAACAATATGTCTAGTATTTCCAAGATGCCACCATATTGAGCTGTATATATACATGTGGTACGACTAACGAATTATATATCATCTTAAGGGCGTTTTCTGTCATGCAATTATTGGCTGTTCTTAACAGGGCGGTATTTTTTGAAATGTTCTTACATTGTGTATCAATTTGCTCATGCCAATTAAGATGTTCGTCTACAATTACGGCTAGGATTTTTTTGTTTTTACTCTTTTGTCTTTGGTCCCCAATGACAATTTTGGGATTTGATAACATTTGGTTTAGCCTTTGCCTTGACCCTGTAATCATGTATTCTGTTTTCTTGACATTCATGTTATTTTAGTCGCTATTAGCCATTCGTGAACGGCATCCAGGTCATCAATGTCTAATAATGATTTGCTATTGTAAGAAAGACTTGACATTGCAAGACCTCTTTTGTGTGATTTAAGTGAACATGATATTTTGCCTTTTTGTTAACACAGTACTTTAATAGGCAACCCTATGTTCTAGTTTTTGAGTGGTTGTTTATCAACCACAGATAGCTTCAAATTAAACTTGTTTAAATCTCTCATGCGCAATAAGTCGCCAATTCGGAGTTTCCGCTGCGTATCCAAATGAGCGTCGGGATAAATTGTAGACGAAAAAACACGAAGCTGATACCGCAAGGATTAGTGAATATGCAAAAAGCTGGTTACTGAAGAGCTGAATACTTTGACATTTACATCGATTTTAATGCTTCGTGTCTCATCAATACGTGTTATACGATTGAACGTCAATAGACTATTCCTTAATTATTTGTAGTTCTCAAAGGCTCACGGTATTGTGACAGGGGCGGATCCAGCTCCTGAGCTGACTGATGCATACATAAGACCTCGCATTTGTAGGGGGGTCCGGGGGTATCCTCCCCCGTGAAATTTTGAAATCTAGGACCTCGGAAATGCGATTTCCTGCGTTCTGAGCGAACTCTTTTGTTGCAATTCCTATATCAGAGTCACAAAAATTTTGCTGCATTTTTGGAAAAACACGTAAAAAACTTGAACCTATATCGCAAAAAAAACCATAATTTCTCCGCATAAGAAAAAAAATTTTGCTTGTACAAGTGTAATAGCAGCAGTGGCAATAAGTCTTTATTAAAAAATAGTCAGTACTGTGCTTCTTGTAGCCTTAACCTTTCTATTGAAAAACATTTCGGCAGAAAATCACGACAACGCAAATACACACATACTGTGTAACAAAGGTGTATACAGTGTGCTCCACTAGTTGCATTGCTGGACTCAGAAGACAGTGTTATTATGTCGTTTATGAACCACTTTCCCCTATTAATTTCCAATGTCCCATGAGTAAAATCTTCTAGCATTAGAATTTAAAGTAAAATAACATATAATGGTGCATAAAGATTAAAGGTATTTTGTGTTTTACTGGGTAAATATATGCAACTCTGTCTTATGCTGCTAATCTTACTCTGCATGGACAGTGTGGTTGGCATCAGCTGGTCAATTTCATTTGCCCCTAGGCTAGCTGCCTTTCAGATGAACTGCATGGTGAATAGCCCACACTCTGAATACTGAGAATATTGCCTTGTGGCGAGGAAACCAGTAAACTAACACACAACAAACACTGGGTTTAAAATTATATAAATAAATAACTATAGGTACACACACGTTTTAAATCAATAGAGACTGTGTGTAAATTAATTTAATGAAGCTATCTT